AAAATCAACAGGTAAAAAGAAAATCTGTGCGGGAGTAATTTATCTTGTTCCTCAAACCTGAGGTGAGGCCTGCAGGTCCTGCTAGCCCAGTGCATGAAATCTGAGCTCAAGGATACCACTAGGCTTTTCATGCTCTTTGTAACAGGTCATGGCAGCAGTGCTGGCCATGTTGGAGGGACTGGAGGAAATACATTATGTTGAGGTGCTGAAGCAAGTGCATCCCCCTAAAGATTAACTGTAGTTTGATCTATCACTTTGTAAGTAAGTCCCTGAAGAGCAAAAAAAAACAACTGCACTGTTAAAAGCTTTGTATTATAAAACAGAAGGAGCAAGAGAACTGTACCTACAGAGGTTAATCTTCAGCACAGGAATTTAAATGAACTCATTAATATCAGCTTACAAATTAGCTCATTAAAATGCAGGGCTGCAGATCCCGAAGTTGGTTGATCTGGTATGCCACTTCTATGGAGGAGTGACTTAAGAAACAGAGAACAAATTGTTAGTATTAAACTCCCTTTTTCTTTCCAGTCCCATAAACCCTCATCTGGAACACCTTCTTCCTTGAACTCTGTACCAACAGCACTTTTTGTTCACTTAATTAAGCTTGTTTGATCCTGTTCTACAAGCACTGTGTAGTATCACTGCCTCAGGTGATAAAACGTATGTCTGTACGCACTTGTGCCACCCCACACGCACAGGAACTCTGTAATTGAGGCCCTGGCACCACAGGTCACAGCAATGGTTTGGTTTTTTTCTTTGTCGAGGTGAGCAGCTCCAGAGAGGAGCGTCCAGCCCCGGAGCCTCAGTTCTGAGCGGCGAGAACCTCCCAGGGAGCCTCAAGCCCCCGCCAGGCCTTGCCCAGGAGCCGCGGCTCCGCTGAGGCGGGCAGGGACTCACAGGGGCGGTGCCAGGAGGGACGGCCCCGCCCTGAGGGGGGAAAACCCGCCCCGGGGAGCGCGGGAACAGCGCGCGGAGCGGCGGTCAGGGTGTGGCTGGGCAGTTGACGCCAGCAGCGCGAGGGGGCAGCGAGCTGGGTGGGGAGCGGTCGCCTCAGGGCCAGGGCCTAATCTGGTAGCTCTGCTCTGGCTGCCGCGGGGGCGGCAGCGTCGGCACCAGATAGAGCGGATGAGAGGAGGGGCTGCAGTGCAGAGCTCGGAGTGTAGAGAATGCCTGTACTGGTCTGGTGAGGGGAGGGGGCACAATGGGCAGGGCTGCACTCTGTGAGCCCTGGTGGAGGTCCTACTGCAGCAGGGGCTGAGCTGTGGCACCCTGTCAGTAGCTAAAAGGTGTCAGGGGAGCTGAGAGGAAGCGGGACTGCTTGCTCCAGGCCCAAACTGTGCAGGGGCTACAGGCATCCACCATAGCGCATACGGAAAAGGAGGAGGGCAGTAATCCAGGGAGCTGGGAGCTAGTGAAGAAAAAAAAAAACCAACAAAAAAAGGAGGCAGAGGACAATTAAAAGGAAGGGGTTTCCTCCTAAATCTGATGTCCTCACTCAGAACTGCAGTTCTGCAGGGGACTAATGAGGAAATGCGCACCGCACCAAATGAACAAGCAGCTGATGCACTAGTAGAGGATCACTACTGGTGCCCCCAGGAAAAAGCAACGGGTGACTCTTCAGGAACCCACTAAACAAGGTTCCATGGGGTATAGCCATAGAGGGTAGGGTGGCCCAAGACTGTTGGTTGATATTCAAGGATCACCTGTTGCAAGCTCAGAAGTGTTGCATCCCAACTAGAATGAAGTGCAGCAGGAGGGCCAGGAGACCTGCTTGGATAGATAAGGAGCTCCTGAGAAAATTTAGAGGGAAAAAAGAGGCTTATGACAGGTGGAAGCAAGGACAGGCGGCCTGGGAAGAGTACAGGAATGTTGTCTGGGAAGCTAGGGACCAGGTTAGGAAAGCTAAGGCCCAGTTAGAATTAAACTTGGCTAGGGATGTTAAAGATAACAGGAAGGGATTCTACAGGTATGTAGCAAACAAAAGACAGGCTAGGGATAATGTGGGTCCCCTCCAGAAGCTCTCAGGAAAACTGGCTACACAGGATTTGGAGAAGGCTGAGGTTCTTAATGCCTCGGTCTTCACTGGCAAATACTCTGACCAGACCACCCAAGTCTTGGAAAGTGGATGGAGGGGCTGTGAGAATGAAGACCCTAGGCCCACTGTAGGAGAGGAACTGGTTTGAGACCATCTTAAGAACCTGAATGGGACCTGATGAAATCCATCCATAGGTCCCAAGTGAGCTGGCAATCGAAGTTGCTAAGCCACTGTCCATCATATTTGAGAAATCATGGCAGTCAGGTGAAATTTACGATGACTGGAAAAAGGGAAGTATAACCCCCATTTTCAAGAAGGGGAAAATGGATGACCCGGGGAATTACAGACCAGTCAGTCTCACCTCTGTGCCTGGCAAAATCTTGGAGCAGATTCTCCTGGAAGGCAGGCTAAGGCACATGAAAAACAACAAGGTGCTTGGTGACAGCCAGCATGGCTTCACTAAGGGGAAATCCTGCCCGACCAATTTGGTGGCCTTCTATGAAGGGGCTACAGAACTGATGGACAGGGGTAGAGCAGTTGATGTCATCTACCTGGACTTGTGTAAAGCGTTCGACACTGTCCTACACGACATCCTTGTATCTAAATTGGAGAGACATCAATTTGATGGATGGACCACTCAGTGGAGAAAGAACTGGCTGGATGGCCATATGCAAAGAGTTGTGGTCAATGGCTCAATGTCCAGCTGGAGACCAGTAACGAGTGGTGTCCCTCAGGGATCGGTGCTGGGACCAGTCTTGTTGAACATCTTTGTCACTGACATGGACAGTGGGATTGAGTGCACCCTCAGCAAGTTTGCTGATGACACCGAGCTGTGTGGTTCAGTTGATACCCTGGAGGGAAGGAATGCCATCCAGAGGGACCTTGACATGCTTGAGATGTGGGCCGATGCCAACATCATAAAGTTTAACCATGCCAAGTGCAAGGTCCTACAGTGCAATCCCAGGCACAGCTACAGGTTGGGCAGAGAAGAGATTCCGAGCAGCCCTGTGGAGAAGGACTTGGGAGTGTTGGTCAATGAGAAAATGAACATGAGCCAGCTTCAGTGTGCGCTTGCAGCCCGGAAAGCCAACCCTATCCTGGACTGCATCAAAAGGAGCGTGACCAGCAGGTCAAAGGAGGTGATCTTGCCCTGCTCTGCTCTGGTGAGACCTCACTCGGAGTATTGTGTACAGTTCTGGCGTCCTCAATATAAGAAGGACATGGAACTGTTGGAACAAGTCCAGAGAAGGGCCACGAGGATGATCAGGGGACTGGAGCACCTCCCATATGAAGACAGGCTGAGGAAGTTGGGACTGTTCAGCCTGGAGAAGAGAAGGCTGCGTGGAGACCTCATAGCAGCCTTCCAGTATCTGAAGGGGGCCTATAGGGATGCTGGGGAGGGACTCTTCATTAGGAACTGTAGTGATAGGACAAGGGGTAACGGGTTAAAACTTAAACAGGGGAAGTTTAGATTGTATATATGGAGGAAGTTCTTTACTGTGAGAGTGGTGAGGCACTGGAATGGGTTGCCCAAGAAGTTGTGAATGCTCCATCCCTGGCGGTGCTCAAGGCCAGGTTGGACAGAGCCTTGGGTGACATGGTTTAGTGTGAGGTGTCCCTGCCCATGGCAGGTGAGTTGGAACTTGATGATCTTAAGGTCCTTTCCAACCCTAACTATTCTATTATTCTATAATGATAATTGTCACTTATTACCTTGATAATGAGACTCTACCAGCTTCTGGCAGTAATAAGCTTTATTTCCATAAATTTTAGGTAATCATACAACTCTACTACTGCCATTAAAGTAATAGTATTATTTAAGGGGAGAAGAGAAGAAAGACTCAAACAAGATCTGATATAATTATATAGATCAGTTCAGAATATCTTTTATAAACTATGGATGCCAGTGATTAAAACTGGCCTTACTCTTACAGCTTTTCAGTTGGTTCTTACATATCCCAGAGGCACATGGTAGGCAATACAGAAAATAAAAATATAAAGAGTTTACATTCCAGTTATATGTTCTGCAATAATATATATATCTCTGTGTGTACATATATACAGAGAGAGAGAAAAACTCCAAGTACAAAACCAGTTTTGGTACATTTTAAGCTAACTTCACTGAACCCCCTATCCACATTAAAAATGTGTAGGGAAAAGGTAGCGGAAAAATTCCTCAAGCTGCTTCTCGGTGTTCCATAACCAGAAGTTACACAAACAGTTGTGTCAAAGGTTTTAAGGATCAGTCGCCTACAAAGGGCACCATTTGAAATGCTGTTCTGCATTTGCAGGAATTGGTTTCAGTCCTTCAAAGAGACTGGCTGGACAGTATGTCGGCACAGGCATTACCTGGAGACACTTGACCAGCGTTTTTCTAGAGGCTGTGGAGCTGCAGTTATTGTGGGGATGTTGAGCTGGCTCATCTGTCCATCTGGGCTTGTGTCCATCTGAAAAGCACCATGCTGACTCACTGACAGAGCTAGCTCCTCAGGTAGGTGCAGATGCCTGACTCTGCTTCTGCTCATGGAAATAATCCCTTTGCCATTGATGGGAAAGGGTACGTGGGTGTGAAAGTCATGTAGGCAGAGCAGAGATGCAAAACTTACTTCTGTTGGGCATAAAGGTGAGGTTTTAACCTTGCAGTGACTGTGCCACTTCATATTAAAAAAATAAAAGGCATTGAAATTTATGAGAGCAGCTAGGGAATCAACTGAGAAGTACTGGTCTGGGGAGCTGCCAGACAGTACCTCAAGTGACTGATCTGACTAATGGAGCCCATCAGTTTCCCATGTATTAGTGCTGCTAGCTCAGCTTTCACAGTCATTTTTAAGGCAATAACTGTCCTAGCAAATTGGCAATATAATTTAACTACTACAGTCTAAACTAGTTTCATGGTCATCCATTTTTCTAAAGTCACCAGGTTTTATTATTTTCCCACAATTATACCAAAACATACATATATATAAAAAAAAAGAAACATCTTTATAGAAATGTTGATAGTGCTTTGTAATCCTCTGTCATAGCCAGGGCTCCGTTAGACATTGCTAGAGGTCTCCCCACTTGAATATTCCCCTGTTGCGCTGGGCAGAACAAACTTCACGTATCTCCCCTTCTCCCAGCCCCTCCTGATTCGCTGAAGTCTTTGCTGGATGCAGGGCAAATTGAAGATGACTTTTGCTAGAATCACAGTACATGGGACAAGCAGCGTGAGCGTGTAGGTTGGAGGCAGGTAGAATTTGTACTGGTTCTCATCGAAGGCCCTCGACCATCCGTATGTGAGTGTGTGCAGAGTGCTGATTACCAAGGCAATAAATCCAAGGGTGGACTAAAGGGAAGAGGAACACGTGGTAGTTAGCAGAGGATCTAGTGCCTGGCTATTTTCCTATATTTTTTTACACTATTTAGTAAACGTATGTAGCACAGAGAAAGCAGTGAGTATTTTTGCATTTCTCAGACAGAATAAAACACAACTGGAAGCCTTTCCTGGGTAGCACTCCAGACTGCAGTTTTCTTTTTGTAATCAGAGGTTAAGTGTAATATTAGAAACGCAGCAGGAGCTTCCCAGAAGATGCTGCCAACCTGGCTGAGAGGTGGGGTCTGCCTCCATGTGAAGCAGCAGCCCCCAGCTCCTGTCAAGCACATAAGTGTGGGCAGCTTGCAAATGCTCCTCCCAAGCTGCAGCTGCCAGTTCCACTGCCTGCTGGTCCATGGCTGGCAAGAGGCTGCTGACTGGCGGGGTGAAGCTTCAGCATCGTGGCTCTGGACCAGCAGTTGGCACTGTCAGACGCTGGTGAAGCTGCAGCTTCACACAGAGCAAAGATACCTTCAGGTAATTGCCATCATCTACAGGGAAATGAGACTGTGGAGACAGAAGTGCTCTGTTCTGAGACGGGCAACAGCCCTCAAGGTTTTCCTTCTTTGTCCTAGAGATCTGTGTTGGTTCATGACTCAGTCTGTCATGCATCAGGCTGTGTGATGGACTTGATTCTTGAAATGGGGAGTCAAGAGCCCTTTATCACTCAAGGAAGCAGCAAGAGCCCAGCCCCTGTTCTGCAGAAACAAACTTACCCCATTTTCAGCTCAGACCATGGCTCCCAAGCACGCAGAGACAATATTTTGCCTGAATGGTTCCAGCTCCCTTTAAAGGTTGCTTGCAAGAGGGGTTTTAAACTGTGGTCCCCTCACTGGTGGTTTCCTGCCACCATCAGAGATGGTGGCCCGAGCTTGCCTGCTGGCACTCAGCAGGAGCCAGGTACTCGCTTCTGAAGGCATCTTGAAGTGTAAGCCTTTGGTGCTGTGTTTTCATATAAAAACTCAGGAGTATTGCTCTGCTGCCCAACCTTGAATGATTGGTCTAAGCCTGCAGTAACAACCAAATTTCAAGATGCCTAGACAGGGAAAATTTTGCTGCTGATGTCCCTAACTTAGGAAAGGAAAGCCTTTACAAATCAAAATATTTGGCTTGGTGTGCCTTTGCAGAGATCAACAAGAAGCATGGTCTTCCTCAAGGTATGTCCAGGGAAGACATACTGAGCTACTCTGAGCTTTTCTCCAACAGGCAAACAACAATCCCTGGGTGGCAAAAGGCTGTAAATACCAGCTTGAGCCTCATCTGGCAGAGCAGAGATGTAAAGCAGGGCAGACGAAATGGGACAGAGTGAAGTCCAAGGGCAACAGATGTTTTCTGCCCTGGGTGGAGGCTGCTTTTTAGCCCAAGCAGGGCTCTATGCATAGCAGACATGTCAGAGCTGGAAATAATTTGTTCCTCTGCAGTTCCTCTTTCAACCGCTGCTGGTACTGGGGGAGAGTAGGAGTGGGAATTACTGGAACAAAAGGTGACAAACCATCACAGGTGCTCAGTGACCCATCTTTGTGTGCAGATGGGAGGGCACATGAGACTAAAAAAGCTAATTGTCAAAAAACGTGGATAAACTGCCGGTGGCTGGAAACAGTGGTGGGAGCTCCTCAGACAGCAGCAATGGGCTGATCCACTTGTAACACACACAGGGGCTGTCTGGTGAGAGCAGAGGGTACCTGGGAAGGGTCCCAGTGCTGATGTTGGCTGAAGGACCTGCGGTCAGCAGGGTCCCATGGCTGCACCCACCAAGCAAGCTGTCAGCTGTGTACAGGTTGGGCTGTAAGTGCATGAGAAACAAAACTTTAGCTGATGGCAGCCTGGCTCAGTACATGTAGCTCAATATATACTCTGTGTAGTGCAGTGCAGAGCCTGCTGAGCACCCCATGGGAGCTGATTTGCCAACATGCTTAGCCCTGACACTGCACTGAGTTTTGAAGCTCTGCTCTCGTTTATCCTCCCCATGCAGATCCTGGCTATGAATCTTACTTTTTTTGTTTTAAACAGTGGCAGGGGTTTCTTTTGTACTGTCACAGCATGGGCAATGTGGTGCCACCACCCATGTAAGGTGTTAAGGCCCTCTGCAAGACAGCTGTATGGAAACGGTATCTTCCTAATGTGGGCTTTGCATGTATTTTCTATTATGTATTAACTCTTCTATCTTCCCCATTTCCCTGGTGACTGTGAGACTCCCTGTGAAGGTGATTCAGTCACATGTGCCTCATTTAGAAATGTCTAGGCAGCATCCAAAGCAAGCAGCCCTTCCTGACCCAGATACATTTCTGACTTCTGCTGTCATCAGTCCCATGAAGTCATTAGCTCCATGGAAGTGGCTCTCGCTAACAGTCCATCAACAGGAGGGTTAGGAAAGGTCTGATGACAGATTCTTTATATCTTGAAATACATAAGCTAATAAAGAAACCAGGTCAATTCAACCTTCAAATTCCAGGAGGATTTCTCAGGATGGGAAGGTGAAGGCAATCATACACGTTTTTGCTTCTCAGCCAATTAGAGTTGATTTGTAAATCACTGGGGAACATTAAAGATGTCTCCTATAAGTTGAATTACATATGAATCGTTCCTGTTATCCAGTGTCTAGATTCTGTACATTTTCTGTTAATCAAAACAGGACATACAGGGAACAATTTAACAATATTTAATTGAAATTTTTATATGTGCAGAAACTACTACAAAAATTAATCACTTTTGTTTCTAAAACCTTAGCAACAATCCAAACAGGATTTTCAGTCCACCAGGCAACAGATGTATATTTTAAGAGCATGGCAGTATCCCATGACACTAGTACAGGTGCATACACTGCTTCTGGACAATGTCAGACTTGGGAAGCTTCAGATAAGGAGGGAACCAAAGTGGCTCCTGAATTTATATTAAGGCCCAGCCCTCTCTTGAATGTGGCTCTTGGTGCAGTGTCTCAAAAACTCCAGGCTGTTCAACTGAGATGACAATGAATTGCTGTATTTTCTCGAAAACGTATGGCTGGGGCAGCTGTGCTCTGCATTTTCCCTCTCTTTCACTTTTCCCAGGCACGGGAAGCCACAATGCCTCTGATCCACTGTAAGCAGATCAAGTGCTAGACATCCCAAATATTTGAGAAAGCAGCCTCACGCTTCACCTTTTGTATTTACATGCTGCTGCTGTGCATTAATTCAGGGAGGATCACATCACACTACGTGAATATTAACCTCTAGAGGCTGGGAGCAGTAGCTGTATCTGCTTTAATTTCTTCAAGAAACTTATTGAAGAGTAAATAATTTAGAAGAGTCCTCATTAAAAAAAAACAACAAAACAACAACCAAATAATAAAAAAAACCAACCAAAACCGGAAGCTAACATGCTAAGAGATCTGTAACCTGCTCTTTTGATATGACATTTCCACAGTAGGGCACAATACCAGCTGTGCCTCTTCTGCATATGATCAGCTGGAAGCTCATGTTGCACTGTCATGCTTTATCCCACAGGGATAGAAATAGGCATGAGTATCTTTCCATGAACTAGGCCAGCCAGTTCCCATACAGGGCAGCCAAGAGCTATTTTGGAGCTGACCATCGTGTATTTGGTCCCAGTGCTGACATACCCTTAGAAAGATGTAGGAAAAGGTCCTACAGGGCAGATGCAACAGTTGTGTTACATGCACTGGTAGGAGATGGCAGCCCTACCTGCCCCAACAAATAACAAGCAATAGTCCAAGAGGAAATAGCCTCAAGTTACAGCAGGGGAGGTTTAGATTGGAAATTAGGAAAAATTTCTTCCCTGAAAGGGTTGTCAAGCACTGGAACAGGCTGTCCAGGGAAGTGGTGGAGTCACCATCCCTGGAAATACTTAAAAGATGTGTAGATGTGACACTTAGGGACATGGTTTAGTGGTGGACTTGGACTTGATAATCTTGAGGGTCTTTTCCAACCTAAATGATTCTATGACAACTTATATATTTCATGACACAATGCCATCACCCTCCAGGAGTGCTGGAGGGCTGCCAGGGTAAGCAAAAAGAAATGCAGGGGGTTTTAATGCCTTACTCCAGGCTGCAAGGAAAGACTTTGTTTGGGATTCCTGGTATGGGATGCCTAAGCCAGGATCAATTTATCCAACGAACCAGCAGCTGCAGCTCTCCCCTGAGACATGGTGGCAAGAATTAGTATGCTCCTGTTGTCCGATCTGAAAGAGAGGTTTAAAGCTGGGTCTCCTGTCTCCCTGAGGGACAGTCTCCTGGGATCAAGCTCTCCTGGTGAGGCTTTTCTGATCAGTGTAAATAATTACTTGCTAGCCCACAGCAGGAGGGGAAAAAAGACAAAAACTGACTTGCTTGTTTGGTGATTGGGGCATTTGTGGGGGAATTGGAGGGAGCAGGCTTCAAACTCCTGCTCTAATGAGTACTGAATTATTTATATGGCATGGAAGAGCTTCAACAGGAGAGGCAGCATGATAGATATTCACCTCTGCACCTGTGAACCCTGCCCTCCCCTTTTGAAAGTTTAGGTGTGTGCTGGTGTGATGCACAGGGAGGGTCTGCAGGGAAGATAACGGGGATGGGGTCCCGTGGGAGCTCACACATGTTAGGGTGTCTCATGGTGTCACTGCAGCAGAGCGAGAAGCCTGGTGCATGCAAAGCAGCAGTGATGTAGGAGACACAAGTAACAAGGGATTTTAGGGCTATGGGATATGACAGTGACATGGTGAGTGGAATGTGACCTCAAAATCCTCTCTAATATGCAGGTAATACTTGAGGAGTCATTCCCTGCTATCCTTAGTTAGCCCTAAGCCTGGTTCCAAGCACATCCCTTGGAATGCTGCAGCCCCGGAGTTTGGAGTTTGTGAATGTCCCACATAGTGGACTTAGGTCACTGAGGGAATTTGGCTCTTGAGAGCTTGGACATTGCTGCAAGTGGAAAGAAGGCTCCTAAACCACTGACTGATTTTGGAGAAAGAAAAATTACATTCCTAATTTACTTTTTAGTATCAGACATGGTCTTTTCATTCAAATCATACTCAGTTCTCTGTGCTTCTTGGGCTCTGGCACTTTTATAGACCAGCCTAAGCATTTTTGAACCTGTCTATTGAGTATTTGGGTGCATACAAGCTCTGCCAAACCTGACCTTCCCCTGCTCTTTTCCCAGATGCTTTCCTTTACAGAAACTCACTCTGTCTGAAATGCAAGGGCAGATCCGTGTCTTCCAGCCAACCATCTCCATGGCAGGTTACCTGCCTGCCCTCTACAGCCTGGTGCAAACTCTCCACGGCAGCTCCAACATGTTGTGCATGACTGATAAACAACTGGCTCCAAGGGGAATCTTACCCACGGAAGTGAACAACCCTGCCATCTCAAAATAACCCTAAGGCTTTCTGCCTTTCTACTTTGTGTGACTTAAGGAGGTTTTTAGCTATGAATGGTAGTGCTGCTCCCAGCCACTGAGGCAGAAAAGGACTCCGCAGGTGGGTGTCACACAGGCAAAGCCCACGCTGTTTTTTTCTCAAGATCTCTAAGTAGTACTGCCAAATGCAGGGTGAGAAACCAAGACATTAAAGACTCTCTACTGCTAAGCCTGCCACTAATCCTCATGTGGGTGCCCATGGCACATTACATTCTACCTTTCCCCCTGAGAGAAGCACCCCATGCAGACAGGGTGAGCCGTGAAGGAGAGCAGTATGCCCCCCCGGGACACCCACATCCCTCTGCTCTGCTATTGCTTCTCGGTGTCACCTCCTGAGCAGGGTGTCCATGGCTCCAGGGTGCACGGGGACGTGTGGAGTGGCAGGCTTTGCCCCTGACACTGGTGTGCAGCTTGCAGTTGCCGTGCTGGAGCAGAGATGTACTGGGATGATAGTTCAACTTCTACCCTCTGTGGTCTGTGTGAGGGCCAGACTTTGCAAAATCACTCTCTGGCATCGGTAAATACCAACTTTACCTGAATGAAACTGAATTCTCTCCAGTTAAGAGAGTTCGCGATGGATGGAAGTGAAGTGATGGCAAGCAACGACAGCAAGCCCAGGGCAATTATTCCAACAGAGATATAAATCTCCATCCTCCAGACTTCCTCCTCTACCCAGATATTCATCTTCTTCTCCACAGCCTGGAATGACAATGAAGGTTTGTTAAAATGGAGTGCTTAGGAATAGAGGAGCTGAATTTTATCTGTATTTGTTTTGGTTTTGGAAGCAGGTTTCCTTGATGAACATTTGGTCCTATTCATGCCACCAGCACTATTTGTCTATTTGGGAGGTGTGGAAATGCTGTTCTATCCCACCACCATTTGGCCAAAGCTAGACCTGATTTGAAGCCTACTGGGAACAATTGCTGAATGCTTTCAGCTCCCATAGCCTGTAACCACAGCAGCAAGCCCCAAAGTTGCATTTGGAAAAATAATCAGAATGAGAAGTCAGTTTAAAGCCATGAAAACAAATACAGATGCTTGAATATGCAGTACTCTGCTAATAACTTTTGTTTTAAGTGCATTTAGGGGGGAAATTATTCATGCTAATGGAAGATGGGTTCTGTGCTGCATGGCAAAGAGGAGCATTTAGAACTGTCCTCTTCAGCCCATTAAATGGGCTTAATTTACTAAACAAAGATGTTGCTAGAAAACAGGAGGTAGAGGGAAATGAACACAGGATGTTTGTCTGGGATTAATGTGTGACTGTGGCAGTGAAGAAGGACCTGCTCAAGGCTGGAGCTGAGAGGTTGGGGATGTTGTTTGAGGGATGCTTTGGACAGGCATTGCTGCCAAAACCAGCCATCCTGCTCCCCTCTGCACCCACAGCCCTTTCCCTCCTCCTGAGGCAGGTATCCCAGTAGAGAAAGCAGACTGATTGTGGGGCAGTTCCTTCATTAGATTCCCCACTCAGCTGCACAAAGCTTGTGCCATCACATGAGAGAGTGGGGTAGAGCAGAAAGAAGCCAGGGGCAGGAGAAGGGCAGAATGCCATTTCCTCATGACACTGCTGAATTACAGAGCTGGCTGAGTTGTCTGCAGATAGCACTCTCACACTGGATGGACACTGACAAGAGTCTCAAAAAGGCAGTAAAGTCCTTTTCCATTTCCTCCTTCTCTTAGACTATGACCAGTTCTTCACCATCCTGTTGTGAAACTCCTGGAGGCAAGTTGTGAGGACACACCTTCTACAAAACAATTCCCACTCCCCTAATTATGACTTGGTCACTCCAGCGGGCACCTACTGTGAATGTCAGTGTGAGCAAACAGGGCTATCCCAAAATCTAGGAAGAAAATTTGAGGAGTACTCTGCTTCCTCCAGTACTGGATTTCTCCTAGCATTTTTCCTGCCTCTGCACCAGTCTCAGACATGCCGGGTGCCAGGTACAGCTGGTTTCAAGGGCTTGCTCATGCTTCTGGGGAGCTATGGCACAGGGGAGTTTGATCCTGGTCCTGCTAAGATGGCTGGTTCTCAGTTCAGATAGGTACGTGCCTGATGCATGGTGTGCGGTTGCCCCATGGAGGAAGAGCTTGTATAGGTAACAGCTTATTCCCACTGTCCCACCCATACTTTGGAAAATGAATGCAAAAGCCAAGGTACTAAGCCGATTACCTGACATCCCGATGTGTGTAGAAGATTATTACAGGTGTTGACCTGAAGAGTACCCACATTACCTGCTTGACGGCTGTCTCAATTAACTGGTAGCGGTGGGAGCGGCGCATGGGCAGACAGAAGCTGTACACAGCATGCAAAGCTGCACAGAAGAAGCTGAGGAGACCAATTTGCTTTCGGTGCTGGAGCCACTGGTCGAGCCAATCTGGAAAGCGCCTGTATTTGGTACCATAATAGAGCTGTGAGCAGGCTGCCAGCACCCCAGGCAGGTAGACAAGAGACAGCATGACGTAGGCCACACAAGGCAGTGTTGTGTTGACCACCTCGATGGGGATCTTGTATAACTTGTTCTTCTGCTCCCTGATGTAAGGGTGGATGACCTGCCGGATCAGGTTGTAAGTGAAGAAGCAAATAAAAAGCCCCAGAGCCAAAAAGATGGGGATTTTCCAGGCTGGCAAGAGGCGCAGTGGAATGTTCTCGATCTCAGAGGCTGATGACATGCAGCCCATATCTACAGGGGTGAATCCCATGACTTGAGCAATTTCTGCTACGGTGCGCTTGGCTTCTTGGTTATTTGAGCAAATTAGAACCTGCAATGAACAGAAACATAAACACAGGGACTGAGTGCGGCAGCAAGGATATTAAGGGAGCCTATGTTATGCTTCCTGGCAGGCTTTCATATGGGAATTTACCATGGCTGCCAAAGCCCTCTCTCATGGATAGGCTTCCTTTCATGTGTGCATCACCAGTTTGTTTTACTGGTTGTGTTTAGATAAACAAATAAATAAATACTTTTCATTTAGGCAGAGCCTCGAAAGACTACAGAGCATGAAGTAAGTGAGGGTACTTAATTTCTGAGCAAAGAAATGTGGAAGCTATGGGGTGGTCTCTGGGTGCCACAGCTAGCACTCAGGCCCCTTCTGCTGGAGACTAAGGCCATTTGCTGGTGCTACCAGACCTCAGCTGCTGAAAGCTGGGATTTGGCCCTTGTCAGAAGAAAACAGTACCTGCTTATTTCCATCCCTGGCACCTGACTGCAGTGTCCATGCAGAAACCACATTAAATCCCTTGACCACAGTGCAGGCTGGGAACAGGGAAGCCAAGTACTCGGCATTGGATTCTTTGCGATGGTTGATCTCAGTGTTGTTGCTAACGTCCACCAGGATCTTGCCCACCAGCACATCAGCCAGGTCACAGAGGGTGGAGTAATGTTCCCTGAAAACTGCCACAAAAATGACATCCGTCTTCTTCACCGCCTCAGCCTGCAAGGTAACTTCTGCTGCGGAAGGGAAGAGGCCAGCTTTTCGCCTTGGGTTGCGGCTGCCAACCACCACCTTGAACCCAGAGCACAACAGGCGGATGGCCAATGACCGCGCAAAGTCCCCACTCCCCAGCACCCCAATGGTGCGGCCGGCCGCAGGTGTGGTGCTGGGTTCACCTTCCGTGGTCTGATGGCCCAGGAGGGGTTTGGCCATGTCTCTTCCAGACATCCTGGCAGGAAAACAAAGAGAAATGCAAGTTCATTGTGAAGCTCTAACAGAGATCCAAACCACATCTGCGGTCATGGGGAAGAACGTCACTTGGGCCACTTAAACAAAAGTGCATGTGGTTTTGGTCCCAGTAGCCCAGGACCCACCAGCACTTGGTGGGTACCAAACCCACCAGCAAGTGAGTGATAATATACAAGCACCACGATGGGTTGGAAGGCAAAGGGTTTTAGGAGGGTTTCTTGGATATGTGTGATCCAGGACCTGCTGGATACACTCATCCATCCTTTGCTGTTCTTCATGCTGGCATCTCACATTGCAAAGCCAGGGCAATGCTAACAGCGACCAGGGCCAGCAACTCTCAGACCCCCGTGAAGCTACCAGGCATCTTTCATAAAGCCCAGAGCCAGGGGTCCATGGGGATCTCTGAGCCTGCATTTGGGAAAACCAGATGGGTTGCTTCTGATTTGCAGAAGCAGAATCTAGGCAGGGTGTTTCAGCTGAAATGAAAGTGTCCTGAAAGAGGTAAATGAAGAGAGCTACAGCCTCTGCTTGTTTCAATATTTGGGTCTGGCGAGTGCTGTTTGCTTCCGCTCCTCAACGAGTAATGAGAATTTACTCATGACATTTAAAAAATATATTAAAATATGATGGGATTTGCTCATGAAAGATCTTGATGAGCTTTACAAACATTAATGAATTTTGCCCTGTAACACTCTGCTCTCCTTAACAAATTAGATATTGAGCCACAGAGAGGTTTAAATCAGATCAATAAATTCACAGACAGCATACCAGGCAGGCCTGGAGGTCAACACAAGCTCAGGGAACTGCCAGGCTGCTGCCACCAGCTGTTCAAATCTGCCTCTTGGCTTAAGGAATGGCAAATTTGCCCTTAAGGAATGGGGAACAAGACAACTTGGTTTTGGCAGAGTACAGTCTTGCCTTATAGCTAGTCAAGTTCTTTCAAAGTGAAGGTGACCACTCTGACAGGGTGACCTGGTTCGTGGCACAGGCTGTATTTTTCATGGGCTTTTGGAAAAGTTCTTCACGCAAGGCTTTTCACCATTGGCACAGTAGTGGTGCAAAGGGGAAGGGCATTTCTGCGTGAATAGTTACCAATGGGAAACAAAGGGTAAGAAGAAATAAATAATTTTCATAATGGGTATAGGTTATCAAGAGATTTCCCCGAGGATCTGTGTTGTTCAACATGCTCATAAGCGGTCTGGGAAAAGGACTGAATATTGAGAAGATAAAGTTTTTGCGTGATGATCACGTAGGCCAGTCAATCATTACTGGTGAAGAATTTGCGGAAGTATCTCCTCATTCAAAGTGCCCGAGCACCAAAATTCACTACTGACACAGGGCAAGAGCTGCCTATGGGCATAAGCCCCTCACCCCTAAATATATGTGCACTTTAATGAGCTGTAAATCTGTTAAGATCACTCAGAAAAATGATCTGAGGTTGTATTACTCTGGCAATAACAGCTCGGTGCTCCCAGGCAGGCACATATCAAGCAGAGCCTGAGTTACTGGAGGAGAAGATCTCTTGCACAGGTATGAAAATCTCAGTCCTGCTCCTCATGAAAAGCCTACAAAACACCTTCAACAGATGGATGGTAAAACTGTATGATTCACTATCCTGGATACAAAAAAAATCACAGCTTCAGTGACAGTAGTGTTTCAGTGGCAGAGGTCTGCCTGCTCTCCTTGCCTCTCACCAAATATCCTTTGTCCCAGAGACCAAAGATGTTCATGGAAGAAGTGCTTCCAGGAGAAAACAAATGCCAAAGAAAGACATGCAGACTTCTCCCCTTTACCTCTGCTCCTGACACATCACATAGACTTTCTTTCATGCTCTAGATAAGAAAGTCCTGTTAAACTCAGAATTACTCATACTTCACTCTGAAGTATGTTCCAGACCTGCAGAAGGGTTTCAGTGCTGCAAGGCTGATTTGGTGATGCTGGCTGTGTCAGGTTGGTTAACCCAGGCAGCTGCCTGTGCACAGACCCCTGCCAGTCACTAGGATGTTAGTCATCTAGGAATTAGTAGGAAAAGCATACAAAACAACACAGAAAATGCTACTATACCACTGTATAAATCCATACTTAACAGCACATTGCAGTTCTGCTCACTCCACTGCAAACAAAAAAAGGGAATAAGCCTAGAAAAAAGCCATAGGGAAAGAGTGGGTGTCACTCTTTCCCTGTCTGGAAAAGGGCTGTCAGCCTGGAAAAAAAAACACATGGGTGAGGAGGGAGAAGGGACCACCTGGGCCTTCTCAAGGTGAAGAGCAACCTCACAAATGGAGCTCTGGTCAATTGCTGGAGTGCATCATGGAAACACCAGTCCTCTTTGTCCACAACCAGCTGCGCTGCAAAACGCCTAGTGTAAAGTAAAGCAGCACTATCTGAAAAGATGTTGGGTTGTTTTTCCTGGCTCCTTCTTATAAGGGTCTTTATCAAAAGCTCACTGCTTTACTTCTTAGAAACCTTGTTGCACCTAAATTTATTTGTGACCAGGACTATTTGTTCCAGGGCCAACTCTATTGTTCAGCCTAATGAGCTTTCTTTCCTACACATTTCCCCACCTCCTTTTCCACCACCTGTATACACAAACTGTTATCTCAAAACAGAGAGATGCATCTCTGGCTCTCAGCCAAGGGGAGAGAAATCAACATTCAGGGTGAAAAAGTGGTTGTTACCTGCAGACACATTTCATAATCGATCTAAAGCACCTCAGAAGCACTCTCTGTGCTCCCACTGGGACATGAATTTTGCTGCAAGCTAATTTTATTGTAGTGTGTTTTCTCTGTCCTGTAACTGACACTGAACATGTAGAGAGATGTTGGCAATGTTTGGAGATAAACAGCTTTGCTGTCTCCAGTTATTTTGATTAAAAAGGATGACAGAAGTAAATGGCCTTTGAAGTCAGCAGGATAGTTGAAAAGTAAGAAGCCTCAAAATCTTTTATGTGGATCTTGGTGTTATTATTTGTCATGCTTTGACTGTGTGAGCTTTGGAGCAGGACCCATCCCTGATGTACAACCCTTGGTAGGATGACAGCGTGGTCCCTGCTGCTGGCTGCCACCTGCCATCACTGCCATGCACCAAAATCCTCCCAAGGAAGGAGGAGAAAATCTCTCTTTCACTGTAAATGCACATTGCCAAGATAAATGCTGTGGTCTCTGCCTAACAGATTCCTGGAAATGGAGTGTCTGATTAGGCAACAGTTTCTTTCACTATATCTCTGCAGAGCATGCAGACCCCCTGTCTCCTGCTGCCACCCCTGGCTTACCATGTCTACACCGCTTTTTCTGCATGTATGGGCAATGTGTTACCTGCTTAAAACTCTCCCTTCCAAAGCTAACTCTTCATGGCAAGGTCAACCCATCCAAAGCTAGTGCAAAGCACTGCGGCCAGGATGCTGCAGAGCCACCTGGAAGCAAAGGAGGTCAAGAGTGAATACCATGGTGTTCAGACACATCTTTATCATCTTGCAGCCTTAGATAAACCTCATTTACTGATCTTCCCTATCAAGGGTACTGCAGCCCTTCTGAGTTACAGCACATGCAATTCAAGATCGGTTTCTCACCAAGGAAGCAACAAAATGATTTAAAGCACAGCCCTCTGGAAGTAAACTACCTTCAAGCCTAACTGGGAAGCAATACCCTAATTAAAGTATCTAATGCAGTGTAAAGCTACCCTTCAGCTAGGCTATTAACGACACCCCTTATATCACTGCATGGGGATGCTATGTCCAGCTCTAGCATTCTTGTTCCTGTGTGTGGTTCACTGACTGCATTGCAATTACTGCTATTATTTGCAGGACAATAGCAGTAATGGCAATGAGCAAGATGAGGAGCTCCCCTCTGCCAGACACCCTACCAAAACCAGCCAGAAGGCCTGGCCTGCCCCAGAGAATGGGATCAGACAGACAAAAGCTGGGTGAAAAGAAGCAGTCAAATCTCTGTTGCCCAGGCAGAGGAAGGGAGGGAGGGGCTCTCACAGAAGAAAAACACGGATAATTCGATGTGTTTTGCACCTGAGGCTTGGCTGAGGCTGTTAGCTTAGGCTCGGCGCCAGGCAAACAAGGTTTTTCTGCTTCCCTGCCCACACTGAGGGCCCTTGCTCAGGTTTTGCAGCAGGACAGCAGGATGGGATGGAGTTGGGCTGCAGGAGCCCACTCAGGTGTTTTTGGGCTCACAGAAGAGTCAATCTGCCAAGCAGATCACCCCCCACCACTAACGGGGAGCTGGCTCAGTCGTTATCCTCTTTTGACAGACGTGGGGGACCGAGATACTGATGAGAAAAGGACTCCAGCAAGTTTGCCTGGGAAGAGCCAGATATTTTTGACCACATCTTTAACAACGAGACCACCTTTTTGGGCCCCTTTCACTTCCTCTGGTACAGCAGGATAGCCTAGCTGTCTCCTGCAACTCGCAGTCTGGAGGTGCTTGAGTTACAAACCCTGAAGAAGGATGGACTTGGGGCAAGGCACAAGCTTCAGTTCTGGCCAAAAGAAATCAAGACCCATTTTAGTGTCTTGGTTTTCAGATTTATCAGATAAAAGACAACTTAATGTTACCCCAACTCTCACAAAAAAGGCAGTGTCTTAAACATATAGCTGAGTCAAACTGTGCCAAAATACAGGGCAGCAATCTCATAAGGAGCTCCATGTAGTGGTCCTGCCCAGTGCAACTGGCTCCCATTTGCACAGAAGCTCGTCTCTGAGCTCAGCCTCATGTAGGCAGTCTGACCCAGCAGTACCCTGGCTAACACAACTGCTTTTGTGTCTTCCCCCAAGGTTAGCTTTTGTCTTGAGTCTTGAGTCACTGTGAATTCAGCCTGACCACAGGTCATCACAGAGCCTGCTCTGTGCTTCAGCTTCTGCATCGGGAGTTACTTGAGATAAAGCACATTATTATCACCCACATCCCCTAATGAGCACGTGTGTTGAAAGACCAGCAAGCTGCATGAAGAATCAGCTGATGTAGCAAAGGACTTGGCTAAGTCATTGCAGAGGAACATTGTGCTTTCTGCACCGGGATGGTCCCTTTGGGTGCTGCCAGCCATGACTGCCACCCAGCTCCATGGAGCATGGCCCCACAAACACACACACTGGAGGAACAGGAGTGATCTTTGCTCCCAGAGGACTTTTGGTCTGCATGGAGAGACCTTTGAACCATGAAGCTGCCCTACAGCTTCTGTTTGCAAAGCATCTCCCTGCTGCATTAACCCTTGAGAAGCCCCAGCAGACAAGGAGCACTCAGTGCCTGAAGTCTCAATTTAGGTCTTACTGTGAGCAGAAATACTTTTTTTTTGTCTACAGCTGTTTTGTTACCAGGGAAAATAAAAGCATTTCAGACTCTTTTCCACACTTGGAATGCCCCTTCAAGGAGCACAGCAAGTACTGTGTACCTGTTGGGACTGGAACAGATTTAAAAAAGAAAAGGGCTTATCCAAAGCTGCTTTAACCCCAGCTCTGGTGCACATTTCAGGAAACGTTTTGGTCCTGCCCAGGCTGACTGGAAATAAGCCCTCTGCTCTGCAGGGAAGGGGAAAACCAGGCTTGCTGCCCCTTTTCCTCTTTCTCATTCCAAAGCAGAAGGAACTCCCCAAGAGCACAAACCAGGAACTGGCAAAGGGAATAAATCACCCTTCAGCATTCAGTCAGAAAAGCTGTGTTGCAAACCTACCCAGGACACCTGCCAGGCCTTAAGAATGAGGAAATGCTGGCAGCTGTGCTCCCCCTGCCAACATCCTTCGTCCTCTTCACTCGTGGGGCACATGGGGCATGGAGCAGTGATGGGGAACAGGTGGGTTCACCCTGCATCTGTACTGCAGGGTGGGGAGGTGGAACAGGGAGAGATGGTTGTACCGTGACTGCTGGGTGCTGAGGTTGTCCCCTGTGATACTGTGGGGACAGATCTGCTGCAGGCTCCCCAGGTTGCTGTGACCCCAAACCTGCTGTGGGACGTGTCGGGTTCCTACATGTCCCCCTGACACTGCTCTCCACCCTGATGAACTTTGCATTCCCAGGTCCTCATCCCTCCCCCTGCCCAGGGAAAGTGTTTCTGTTAAAACTGAAGCTCCTACAGAGCCCAGCTTTCTTCCCTCTGTATATGTTTATCCAATCAACCTCATTGCTTCCTCTTGTACCCCCAAAGGACACAGCAAATCATTTGCCCCCTTCTCTGCAGACACATTCTGCATCTGGAGAATGGGTTTCACATCTCCATCAGTTTTTCCTGCACAACTGAAACCCAACTCTTTCCTCAGAGCTGTATTTGCCAAGTGTCCAAAACTCAGCTTCTCTTCCTTGCTCTCTTTTTTCTTAGAGGACTCCCAGAGCTGCATATTCCAGTCGAGCCACTGAAAGGCACCAGCTGGAGCAGAGATGCCACTTCCCCGAAGTGTCACTTCTCTTTCTTCACCCCAGCAGGCTGTTTGCTTTTGCAGAACTGTGTGACACTGTTGACTCATGAGCCCCAGTGCCCATCACCCCATTCTCTGGCTCGTCATGGCCAGTGCCTGGCTGGTCACTCACCCAGCGTCCACACGGTCACAGTCCTACCACACAGGGCATAACACGTGACCTGTTTTTTTGGACCAGATTTCCATTTACCACAATCTTTAATTCTTAGTCTCTCCTCTAAAATATTTCCAGTCCCTCACAGCTCAGTATCACCTACAAATTCAGTACGTGCCTCCCTTCTCCATCACCCACTAATGAAAACATGGGCTGACAGGCATTGACCTTCCCTGCTCCATACACCCTCCGGTTTAAACATTGATACCGAGGATGTTGGTTTTGGAAGCCAGCGGTGAAGCCAAAGGCATGTCCTTAACCACAAGATGTTCTTCACCATCGCCAAAATTCAAAAACATCTTTCAAAACAGAGAAAGTGGAGGAAAAAGGGCTACCAAAGTTTTCCCATGGAGGCAAAATAACCTCTTTTTCCCACAGATGCTCAGAGATTTTGGGTACAGTTTTCCTATAGAAATATATCAGTCTCTGGTCACTTTGCAGGGACAATTTCCCAAGATTACACAGGCAATATTAATGCTGAGCAGAAAAAACACCCGCCTGTGACGTG